TATGTTGTCAGGTAGACCTTTTGCACGTTTAAAGGGAAACCGTTCATTTATCTGATGAAACCCAGAAGTAAATGTATGCTTTATGTCTTAATACACACAAGCTTTTCTTCTTTCCTGAATCGCATGAACTTGATCAATGTGGACTTTGAATTATCATGATGCGATGAGTCCTTCTTTAGAACTAGAGCTAGCCTGACTCCCACCTTTATTCTTATCCTGTCTACAAACTCTGCACGGAGTCTAACGGATGATGAAGTAAGTGCGCCTCTTGTTCAGTAATTCCAAAATATGGAAATTCACAGGGCCTCTCCATTCTTAGAGTTGCTGTCTTCCTCCCTCCCTCCTCGATGCTCTGTCCTTCCCTCCCAACCTTACTCCTTCCCCTTCTCTGTCCCTCCCTTCCCTACCTCCTTCTTCTTTTCTTCCCCCCTACCTTGCCCCCTCCCCCCCCTTTTTTTTAACACCCCAAGAGCTTCTGTTATCTCTTCAGAATGCCTTCCATTTTCCTTCTTTCCTGGCACTGGATGAACAATGAGAAAGAGGATCTTTGCTTTGGGATGGGGGAGGACCGTATCATCACTGTCGTCATTTTCCTACAAGTGATTTCGCCATTAACTTCTCTTCTCTTCTCCCCATAGAAGTAGAAATATATTTTACAAAACTATGTTTAGTTTAATTTACACATCCTTTCATGAACAGACCAAGTTCTTTAAGGGCATTTATTCTGCTTCATATAAATAATTGATCAGCCAAGTTAATTTACTTCTGCCTGACTTGGTCAACCTTAATTAACTGCCCTGGAATCAAGACTGAACTTTTTGTTAGCTTAAAATCTTTCACAAGCATGATAACAAGGGCTTTATTTTCCTTAAATTTTCAGCATCAACACTGTAACCAAGGAAATAATCATAATAATAAAGCATTGCTTTAATTTACTATAAATACATTGGCCTGGACATTATGAATTTTCCAGAATACTTCCAGAGTATGCTCTGTTGGCAACGACAATAAATAAGCATGCTAAACTCAGTTGTTATCCTTTTCTACAAGTTCCTTCAGCACAAAAATCGATCTTTTGAAATCAGTAGCTCTGTCATGTTTCCAAGCAAGACGAGAAGTGGGCCATTTTGGCTTCCTTCAGCTTTCTGACATCCATGCGATTACAGCCTCAGCTGTAGGGTTGTGTTGAATGGATCATATGTGACTTAAACAGGCCCAGCTCATTCGGAGAAGCCATGCAGGAAGCCAGAGGAAGATTTGTCTTTGTTTCCAGAGGGCTTGTTAGTGGGGAGGGGTGGTCATGTCCGCCTGGTGCCATGCCTCCATATTCGTGCACTCGGGGTGATTGCGTATCGTTTCTTGCTCTCGATTTGCCATGGAGCAGAGCAGTTCATTGGTTATAAGGAGTCCCAGAGGGAAGCGGAGGTTATACAAACTGAGTGACTATGACAAGCTCCCTCTAAGAAAAGAAGTTACAGTGTTCGGTGTCAGAAAATGCACATGCCTCTTGTATACACTGACCTGCTTTGAGATGATTCCCAAATTGTAAAACTCAATAGAAAAAGACAAATAGAGGTGTTTGCTAAAGAATGCCGACACTTTCATCTTTGTATTTTAGATGCTTTTATTTGTCCACCTGCCACCTTGGTACTGTCTTCCCTGGAATTGCTTAGTTTTCTTTTCATTCATTTACTAATGCACCCCCTTGCCCAGGACTTTGCAAATGGGAACTTCTCTGCCATTCATTGAATGGGCAAGTTCATGTCTGAAACAGGAAGTGATTATGGCTGTATCTATTCCTTCACCTACTGAGTTTTGGTTTTCTTATCTGTAAAATGGGGATAAATTTCACCTGCCTCTTCTCCCTGATGGACTTGTTATGAGTTTAAAAAGTACCTCAGAGAGTCTTGTAGTTTGTGAAGTGTTGTACAGACATAAAGGCTTATTAAATGGCTTGGAACATTCCATAGAAAGAAATATTGCCAGCCCAGATATTGTTAGAAATGTTCTTAGACATCGACACTCCTAATTTTTCACATGTGCTTTTCAAAAAGCTGTTTTCTCCTGATTGGTGTGGGAGATTATGGGAAATTTTAAATCTTGCAACCTACATACTACTGTTAGCACTTGACTAATTAAGGACATCCTCAGACCAAAATAATCCTTTATGCAATTTCGGTCCCAATGCCTGCACTCTCACAGACCCGATTCGCAAGCCAAGCTGCTTGGCGAGATGCCTGCAAAACTTCTCCTGGAGGACTTGGCAGCCTTCTTGGAACTGCGTAGAGCAAAACCTTCTCATCAAATTGTGGATTGGAGATTGTCCTTACTCCACCCACCACCACGGTGTCAAACCCAGGAAACAGAAGCGGGGCATCTCTTAGACACCTGTTCTGAGGTCAGGCGTCCCAGTGGTCACGGGGTGTGAAAAGCAGCCTTCTTCCCTATAGCTCTGAGGACACGGTACCTGGCTAACTATGCCCCCTTCTGAGGGCAGGTATGGATTTCATGTGTAAGCCATGTTTTTGTCTTTTGCGGGTCCATTCACTGATGTGGGTAGGTTTTCCAGAAAGTTAAAAAGAAAATGTTTTTGTTTTTTCTTTAGGTATGCTTGTGACATACCCTAAGAATTCAATGAGTTTCCTTGTTAACTACTCTAGGACAACCATTCTCTCCCTCAAATACCTAAACACCATCTTTTCCTTCATTTCTATACAAATGGGCAGGTTTATGAAACAGAAACTGAAACATTGGGGGGGGGAACCCTCAATTTCACAAAATTGAAACAAGGTACTTGTATTGCCTGGTTCTTCTATCTTAGAGAAAGTTTTAGTTGTATTTTTGATAGGTTTTATGCTCTGCAGACAGTAAGGATATAAAGGCGGTTTTTAAAGGACTCTAATTACTGGAAAGTCCGATCTCAAGAGAAGAGAGTGAATCAGCTGTTGCTTCTGAATTTGTTTCCCACCTGTCAACAAAAAATGCCATTCTTAATCCCCTTCAGAATTGGATTAACTTTAAAAAATAAGTCTTCTGGGTTTATAAAGTTTGTACTCAAGTTGGATCATACAGCGCACTGAAAGGAAATGAAGAAAGATGTGAATTTTTCTGCTTTTAATTTTCCATTAGGCTTTTGTGGAAGTTGGTAGAAAAGGGATTTAAACCAACTTCTGGCAGGAGGGCGGCCTCCTCTAAAGAGGAGGTCCCAAGTGTTTCAGTTTCCCTGTTGTCACATATTTCATGAGTGGGGGAGAAATCTGTAGTGCAGGCTGTGCCTATCTTTACACGATGCAAAAATACTTGTTATAAGTTTTCAGCCCTTTTATCTGAGATCAGTGTTTCACGTTAAAGTGTTTTTTTTTTTTTAAGATTTTATTTATTTATTTGACAGAGAGAGAGAGAGAGAGAGAACACAAGGCGGGGGGTGCTGCAGAGGGAGAGGGAGAAGCAGGCTCCCTGCTAAGCAGGGAGCCTGACGTGGGGCTCGATCCTAGGACCCTGAGATCATAACCTGAGCCAAAGGCAGGCGCTTAACCGACTGAGCCACCCAGGTGCCCCTCATATTAAAGTTTTAACATTCAGACATTTCTCAGCTTTGATATTGGAACTGTCAAGTCCTTTAGTGACTATTGTTTTCCCTGTTCAAAGTCCTCGTCTGTGAATTTGGAGTATGACCCTGCCATTTCATTGTTTGCTCCTTACTGCACCTCAACTGGAAGAAAATACATGGTTAAGAACTTTGACATCCGACTGAACTTGTTCAAATCCTGATTGCACCATTACTAGTGATTTATGCTGGGCAAATTAAAATGGTCCTCATGGAGCCCTAGTTTTCCCATCTGCATACTAGAGATACCAGTGGCATTCACAGCTAAACTGGTGGATATACATAAATCACCTGCAGGTGGGCTCGGCACAGCACTGGTAATCAATACATGGTAACATTTGGTATTAGTAAATATTATCTATCTATCTATCTATCAGACACCTTTACTGAGAGCTGAATTGGCTCTGTAGGGTAATGGTTTTGTACCCAGAGAGTAGCTGGGCAGAATGTGAAATATATTTACATGTATGTAGGTGATATCCTTCAGCTGCTCATCTTGCACTATACATACAGACATACATATTATATACCTACTGTATACACATACACACACACATATTTTTTTTTTATTAGACATTTCATACTTTCACATTCAGACCTTTTCTTTGGTCTGCCTAAGGCCTGATTTTTCTTCAAAATAAATATAAGGTGTCCCAGACTTTTCAGGCCTTAAACCAAACTAGAGGTTAGTAATCCAGCATGAGAAAATCCCCTAACTTTGAAGAGGATTTCCTAGGGAAGTTTTAACCCTAGGACAAAGATCAGAATCTGAATTTTCTCAGCTCCTGAAAAGTGGGGATTTTTTTTCCTCTCTAAATGTGGCCGATCTTATTGGAATGGCCAATTTTGAAGACTTTTCAGTACCTAAATGATTCTGGGGAGTACGAATCTTTAAATGCTCTTCACTTTTTGACCTCCGGAGCCCCTCCTGGTGGTGTGTGTCATGTCTCGATAGAGTGGAGTTGGAGACTTTCCCTCTAGGAGTGTCCCACCCCCACGCACAGCCTGCACACACTAAAATTTAATGTTACACCTAATATGCCACACACAGCGACTTACTGGTTTTTGAGCAAAACATCCAGACACAATCCACAGAAATTTTAGCCATAAATCCTGAGTTCCCCCGAAAGTTTGTTGTTTTTTTTCCTCCCAAGGGGAAACAGCCTATTGAAAGGACCACTGCTAAACCTTGAGGCTGGACCGGTCCCTCTGTCCTCCGACACTAGGGGACTAGCCCACGACCCAGGGCCAAAAGCGATCGTGAGAGAAAAGGACAACTGCTTACAGTTTGGCAACACGGACGGCAGGGCCCTGCTCCTTCTGTCCAACAACTGTTTTAACAGCTGCTTTTTTCTCTCTCTCCCCCGCTCCCTCCTGAAAATCCCTCTCTCAGGTTTTTGAGTCATGATGCAAGAATCTGGGACTGAGACAAAAAGTAACGGTTCAGCCATCCAGAACGGGTCCAGCGGCAGCAACCACTTGCTCCCCTGTGCCAGTCTTCGCGAGGGGCGGTCCAACGGGGAGACGCCGGCTGCGGACGGGGGGGCCGCCGAGCTCGTGCACGTGCAGCAGCAGCAGGTACTGGGGGTGCCGGGGACGGGGGGGCCGCCGAGCTCGTGCACGTGCAGCAGCAGCAGGTACTGGGGGTGCCGGGGACGGGGGGCCAGCTCTCGCACTCGCCCTTCGCACTCGCACCGCCCCCCCCCCCCCCCCGGAGTGTTGGGAGGCTCACCTGGCGCACTGGCCGCCTGTCAGCAGCATCCAGCGGCCTGGTGGTGGCCTTCAGAGACTAGTGCCCAAGCCCTTGGGAGTTGAGAGTCTTGGAAGCTCCCCATCCCCGTCTTGGGGAGCAGTTGTTAACAACGAGCTTGAGTGCACCTCTGGACACCCTTCCCAGGCCCCACCGTGGCAGCCCGAAGCTGAACTGTTTGGAATACAATGAATCTTTGGAGAAATGGTTCCCGATGCTTGAGTTAGAAAGTAATAATAATAATCAGGCTTATTGAGCCTGGTGAAGAAAGACACGAAATGAGGGATAATGGATAAAAGGAATAGGGGATGGGAGGGGGAGTAGGTGCATCAGGAGAGTAGAAGCAGACAGTAGGAGCAAACGGGCAGGAGTGGGTATACAGGAGGAGAAGCAACAACCGCACAGGCTTAAGTGTAAGAAATTGCCCCCTGCAACCTGTAGGAACTTCAGGGTGTGGGCCACTGACCTATGTGTTCTGTGTACATATGGCAGCTGATAATGTGGCTAAATCCTCGTAATGCTTTAAATTAGCTCTTTTTGGTGGCTCCCCCAGATGCTTATAAATTGGGACATACTCATTCTCCTTACGTTCTCCGTAGGCATGTCAGTGGGTACCTGTGGGTGACTGATTAAATATTTCCAAATGGTAAAGGTGACCCCGAAATGGTGGTGTGTGGCCCCAGTGTTGAGGAAAATTCAAATAAGTAAGTAGCACCCGCTTGAAGACGGCACTGTTTTTCCAGCCTCTCTTGGAATCAGGAAATAGGATTTATTTTTGTTAAATGATAATGGGTGGGTTTTGTTCCATTTTAGTCCTTGATTCATTTACTTAATGTGTAGTTATGGTGCCATTTCAGAAAGGTGAAAAAAGAATGATGCATCTTCGGGCCTTTCTGAAAGAAACAGAAATCGTTGAGGGTTGAGGAGGATGAAGGCTAACCTTTTCTCAAACCATTTTCTTGGAAACCGTTATCAGAGAAGTAAAGGGAATCCCTTTTTGTATGAGGGTTATAGCCTTTGACAGGCACTGAGCATATTTTATTTTCTTCTTGCTAAGAAGTTTTTTAAAACATGAAGAATCATTGCATCGTTAGTCTGTTAGAAGTTAGTGGAATAGAAAGAAAAGGAAACTAGCAGACGTGCTCAGGTCTCACTGCAAAGCGCTTCATCTAAGTGACGTGGTATGGTCTCTCTCCCTGGCCGCCCAGACCCTTCTGTGCCTGCACCTCGGGCATCACATCAGCTGGAATTGATGATGTATGTCGTGTGGAAGGTTGTGCACTTAAATGAGTGCAAATGGCCAAATTCTAACCGCCGAGGTGGTTAGCAAAACATATCCTCAAATGGTAGGAAGGTATCCATGTGTGCGTGCATCGTTCATGTGGTGGTGTTCTCAGGTACTTATGGTTATATTGAGAACGGGCAGTTGCTGTTTCGGAGTGCTGTGTTCTGTGTCCTTACCCTACAGAGACCAAGATCCGCTGGTTCCTTATGGAGCAGGTGAGGTGTGGTGCTCTTGACCTGTGGGGTGAGTACCCCACATGCTTAGTACTTAAGGTACATTAATTAAATAAATGGGAAATTCACTTCTTTAGAGTTTTCTATGAAGAACTGAAGATCATTTACCATCTTAAAGTAGTAAATCAGCCAAAGTCTTTACATATATACCGTCAACACACACGCATACACACCCGTACACCAATAACAGCAACAACACATTGCCTCATAGGAGACAGTTAGGAAAGTGCATTATTTTTTAACAGCATCTTCCTTAAAAAGCATCAGTAACAAAATTAGCACATCTCCCCCCTTTATCTTGGCTGCGACCACTTTGGAAAACATGCTGTTATGTGTTATGGATGTCAGTACCTTTTTGATTGTACTTCAAAACTCATTTTAAATACTTTTTATAACAATTTTATTTTTATTTGCTATTGATATGACTTAGGAAGAGAGAGTAGCTGGATTTATCACTGTGGCTAAAACCCCACATACATTATGCTTGGCAGGCCTTTTCGATCTTGTAAAATGAAATACAGCTGTTTGCCCCTTGAAGTATAGATGTGGCTCTTCACAGGTTGTTGGAGGACAAGAAAATCTGTAGATGGATTGAAGGGGAAAAAAAACTAAGGGATTGAAAAAGTTTTGCAGGACTAGAGTGAACCTAGTTTCCTTCTGGACCGAAAACTGCAACAGTTAAGCGCTTTGGAGAAATGCGAGGGTCAACGTGATGGACTTGGGTTGTTTTCGTCATTTTTATTCTACAGGTTTTTACTTGAAGTGAGAATACCAGCAGTGAGAAAATCACAGCCATGCTGAATTCATTACTGCGGTAGTCACACAAAACCACGGATAAAATTTCAATAACTGCAGGCCACAGTTGAGTAAACAGTTGCACTGAAATTTAATTCCTGTTGACTTTTCCCCCATTCCTCGCCAGGGGCACATTCTGATTCTGTAGTACAAAGACAACAGGGGTTACAGCTTTGATTAATGTAGGACAGTGGAAGAGAATTAGAACTGTAAAATATGTTAGAAGTCCATGGAACAAAAAGATGTGGCTTAAAAGGGCTTGGTATAAAAATGAGTTAATTATGCTGTGTGTAACACTGAATGTTATAGGATTTTCCAGTTGCACCAGTGCACTCGTTGATGATATAGGGAGAATTTTTGCCTAGTGCTAGGACTCTTAAAATAAATGCAAGCCTTTCCATGTTTGATTCTTATTACCAAAGATAATTACAAATGATAGCAAGTGCCCTTTCAGAATGGAGAGCTTTCACAAAGATTAGCTGTGGAATGAGTGACTTCTATGCTGGGACTGGTCTGTAGGTTGGCTAAATTAGGTCTAAGAAGAATTGTTAAAAAAAGAAAAAAAAAGAATTACATAGGTGACAACCTAGAAAAATAGGGGGAATCTGGCTTTTCCATCTTCTCTTGAAAAATCAGAAGATCTGGTAACCCTAGACCAATATTCCTACGAGGACAACAGTTGTTAAGGGATGGATTGCTTGTGAAGTCAGGGAGCCCGCCGCCCTCCAGGCTGCCCTAGCTCCCACCGAGCAGCATCGCTCATTTGTGGCCCTCTAGGCAGGGGGATTGGTAGTTCTGCAAGATGCCATCATCACTCAGAAGCCATCACCAAGGAGAGGTGCTGCCAGTAGCTGGAGGAGCCCGCCAACACACTCCCCAACTGTCTTCCTTCCTCAAAATGAAATGTATTATCTCTGTAATGTCTCAAGTCTACTTATAGCTGGGCCATGAAACTATTATAACAATAGTTTCCTAGTAATATAATTTGATAGAGTTTCTGAACATTTCTTTTAGCCACTGGGTAATTCTTTACCCGATACCATAACTGCTTTTTATTTCCTATTATGCCTGCCCCATTTCTGGGTCTGTAAAAGTTCTGTATTGGATATGCACTACTCCATTATGAAACTCAGCAACAAATACTATTACCAATTACTGAAGTTTTTTTTCCTAAAGAAAGGATTTTAAAATGTCCAGAGCAATTTCATAAACTGTGTGGATTAATGCATTTTAAAAGTCTTGAATTTTAGAAAGCAGAATTTTATTTCCATATTGCTGCAAATGAGAGCTTTTTCAGATAAGCATATTACATAGAGCATAATGTTTAGAAGTTTCTCCATATACAGCATATGCTGTCAGGTCAATTAACAGAATGCATACTAGAAAATGTTTATTCAATAAAAATGAATAGCTGTTAAATAAAACAGCTATTTCTTAACAACATTCCATTTAATGATGGGGTTTTTTTTTTGGGTACCACCTGGCAGTTTTATTGTCTGCAAATCAGTATAGAGAGGGCTTTGGTTGCTGTGGTTTTGAGGTGTGGCTATTGTTTTATATGAGGAGGGCAGTGTAGAGGTAGTCTGTGAGAAAGACATTAAAAAAAAAGATACATTATATACGGGATTTGAATATGGATTATTTAGAGAGTGTGGATAAGTGAAGTGTTTGTTTCATTTTTTGACAATGGTTCTTTGACATTTGGTTTAAGGTGTTGAACCTTTTGGCCCAAAAGTTACCTATCAACCATCAACACATGTCTATGTACATGTTTCCCATTAATAATGTAAAAGAAAGAGAGGAAAACATTGAATGAGTCCTGAAGAGTTAAGAGAGGTAGGAAGGATAAGTAGCTTCTGAAACATCATGAGAGGCAAGAAGAGGGATTCATTGGGTTGCATTTCGCCAATAAGCTATTAAAGGAGGTGAGAGATGAGTCACTGCCCAGGACTAGAGAAGCTCAGAGAGACAGGAGGAGTGGGAGGGTGCTCAAGAAGGAAATCTGGCTGTGTATATTCCCCGAGGATGTAGAAAATACGCTATCAGCGGGGCCTGGGAGAATCACGGGTCTGTATCCTGGGGTCTCCTGAATGTGAGTAACCAAGTGATAACGACCAGAGTGTGAACATGTTAGCATAAACCAATACACAAAAATTGAAGATTCTTCTCTTCATTTTCAAAATGGTGGAATGAATTTCCTCATTTTGTTCTTGTTACCAAAATGACTAGTGGATATCGGGCAAAAGAGAGAGGTTGTCCTGCCAACATTTCCAGCTTGAAGTGCCCCTGTGAAAAACAACGCCTGGAAGAAATCGCTGTGTGTGTTTGGATGGGCAGTGAGCTCCAATGAAAGAGACCATCCCTGTGCGCTTCTCTTTCGTACTTCTGTTCCTTTATGGGAACCATGTTACCATTATTGTGGCCATCCTTTGCCTTGTTCCTCACTCTACAGAGGGAGGCCCAAGTGATTAGGTGTGGATTAGTACAAAGACCAGGTAGCAATGGCCAGTTCGGC